CTTACAGTAGACAGACATTTGGAGAAACAAAGGCTGAATTTTAAGAAAATCAGAGCTGATTGTTGTTTCCATTATAACCACAGTGACACCTGCTGACCAGAAGCAACAACTGACACCAACTGTTCTGTGTTGCTCCTCCTCCTGTTTTAATATTTATTTGGAGGCCTAAACTATATTTTAATCCCAAATGAACATTAAATTGAATCACTTTTTCATTTAAAATGCCTTTGTAGCTACAGAAGTCTCCCATTGTCACTGCTTTAGTGAATAAAGCTCAATGGTTACTCATTGGATCAAAAATGTCTTAAAAGATCTATAGTTCCTCTTACATTCTCCGGATCGCAGAAAGTGCCTCAAAGATAAAATACTGATCCTGACTCTCCTGATGGCACGATGAGGTAAAAACATCATCTTGCTCTTATACTGACAGATATTGTGATTGTAATATGATTCACGATTAGTGGGAATGAGCTTTTTTTTTTTTAATCACAAATGTAATTTTCACTGAAATAAACTATTAAAATCATGATGGTGTGTGCAATTTCAATAATATTTTGATTTATTGTGCAGCCCTGTACTCCTGATACTTTCACTTTCCACTTCAAACTGAGAGTCATTAGTCATGAGGAAGGTTAAAATGAGCTGTGGTACATAAATTGGCAAAAAGGTGTATTTCCAGTTGGAAAATCAACTTTTTCTTGTGTTTAGCAACATTTAAAGCTGTTATAAATCATGACATGCATACAGATAATACCTAACATAATCAACATTAGTAAGAAAACACTAAAGCTGCTCATTTACAACACTTAATGGGACATAGAAAAACCCTGGTATGATGTTACGGTCACTTTTCAAAAAAAATTAATCATCAGAATCCAGACTGTCATCTTCATCATCACTGTCACTGAAAATATCGACAGGACAATAACGGTTATCATTAACGACATCACCATCATTGTCATCATCACCATTATCTTCGCAGTCCACTGGTAATATCCTCAGTGGGACTTTGTTCCCAGTGAAAAAGACTGGAAACAACTTCTCAGTGAAAGTGTGTGTGAAGGTGTGTATGTTTGTTTCAGTGTTAAGATCATAGAACAACAGAGTTCCTTTGTTCCAGTCCAGATGAACTCTGATCCTCTGGATCTTCTGCATCACTGGAAAAGCAGTGGCTGGTTGTAGTGGGGAGACTTTTCTATATTTACCTCCGCCAAACACGAGTGACCATAACCCAGACTTTAGGTCTGTGTTCCCCTTCCTTTGGCGGGACTCTGCGGCAACACCCACGAACCAGACTGGACTGTCTCCAACTTCAACATCCCAGCTGTGAGTCCCTGAGTCAAAGCCCTCAGAGCCCAGGACCAGGTTCTGAGGGTCAAACCGTTCTGGATTGTCAGGAAGCTTCTGTCTCTCTCCCTGTCTCACACTGGTCAGATCTTCAGACAGGATGAGTCCAAGATGAGCAGTGTTTGGATCCAGAATCACAGGGAGTGTAGGAGACCATGTCCTTCATCTTGTCCCAGATGTTGTAGGTCAAGTTGCCCAGGTGTTTGGCCACGTCTATCAGAGCTCCTGAGACCAGCTGTGGATCCTCCAGCAGGGGGCGCTGCTGGACTCTTTTCAATGCAGCCTTGTAGTTCTGCAGGAATGAGACGTCTTCAGCTCTCAGCTCCTCCTCTGTGACTCTGATTGTGTCTGAAAGAGCTGCTATCTCTCTGCTCAGAGCCTCAATCTTCTCCTTCATCATCTTACTCTTCTGCTTCTCTTCCTTCCTCAGAGCAGTGATCCTGGCCTCCTCTTCTTTTTGTAGAAACTGATGAAGCTTCTTAAACTGCTTCTTAATCTGCCTCTCTGTGTGTTCGGCCTGGACCTTAATGTGTTCTGCTGTTTGATCACAGTTTCCTTTAACTTGTTCAAAGATCTTCAGTTTCTCTTTAAAGGGCTTCAGGACTTTCTGGAGCTCCTCTCTGTGATCCTGTGCAGCTTCATCGATGGGTCTGAATCTGTGGTTGTTGTGAGTCTTTGAATCTCTGCAGATGACACAAACTGGCTGCTGATGGTCCAGACAGAAGAGTTTGAGTTTCTCAGAGTGCAGACTGCAGAGAGCCTCAGACCCTGCTGAAGCTCTCTGTTCTCTCTCCAGTAAGAAGGCCTCACACAGGTTCTTTAACACCAGGTTGCGGGGTGGGTTTTTTCCTTGGGATGCACTCTTACAAACCGGACACTCCTGTACTTGCTTAGTTCTCCACCATCTCTTCAGACAGTCTCTACAGAAGCTGTGGCTACATGACAGAACAACAGGGTCTCTAAAGATGTCCCGACACACAGGACAGGAGAGATCCTCTTCTAATCCAGAGGACATTTTCTCTCTGAGTGCTGCTGGAAACACAACAGACAGTGAAAAGGAATTCAAACTCTTCTATGTACAGTTATTTGACACCTGAGTTGTGTATGAAAACTCACGTTGAGGTTGAAGTCAGTGGAAGGTTGAAGTGTATTCCCTCCTGCAGGATAGACGTCCTCCCTCTGTGGTTGTGGGATTTAGAGTGAAGATTTTCAGTTTCTGTTTCAGTATTTCAGAACAGACAAACTTCTGCTTCGCGGATCGTACCAAGAGTGACAGGAAATGGGTGGAGCTTTGTGTGTTTCATTAATAAAATGATACTTTGTCTTAAATGTTTAAGATCGATCTTAAACGATAAGCGATCGTTTGTCTTGAAATGGGTCATCGAATCTAACAGGAAACACAACACCAAAAAGAAAGAAAGAACTAATTTGAGTCTTTTTCTGTTACTGTGTTTTGTACAGTCTCACGGCTGGGCGCATGCGCAGTTTGACCCACAGCATGTGTTTACCTCGCGGGAGCGCGCAGATACAAGTTTGGGAATCATTTTTTATAATGGAAAATGAAAGTACAATTTAAGGCGCACATTTAATAAATAAAAACATCCTGTAAGAAATGTGTTAATCAGAGATAGTAACCAGGTTCATCAGTTATATCTGATTAAGGTGCAATACTCGGGTCACTGTGTAATACACTGTTTAGTCCGTTATTATATGTAACTTCAGTAATACTGCAATCTTTAAAACTCACTGCTCCTTTCATGTACTGTGGCATACATTCACTTCTGTCTATATGTTGTCATATATGGTATTATAAAGTACATACTTAGGCTCTTATATTCTATTTTTATTTTTTTACTTATACGTATATAGCTATATTTATATTTTCTATTTCTGTATCTATTGTAATATAATTATTATTTCTATTCTTTAACATTGTGTGAGCACCTTGAGCAACTGTAACAAACAAAGTCCGATATGTTTTGAAAGCACAGGAGTTTAGTTATCCTGTGATGCACTATTACTATTATAAGAAGCATTGACAGTTTATATATGATAAGAAGAGGACCAAGGTCACCACCACAGGGTCTTCTGATCTACATGATACAAAGAGGGAGGATACAAAAACTGCCTCATAAATGGACCACAGTGTAAAAAGTGTCAACACTGATTTAATATTAGATTTAATAAATGTTGAATGTTTTGCTGATGTATTAGAAAACTTACACACAATCTACACAGTAGTATCTCAGCATTGTGGTCATATGTGTGAAGAAATGTAAATGTAAAGGAAATTGTGTAATAGAACAATGACCAAGCATCAGGGAGAAGAAAACACAAAACACAACACAAAAAGAAGTTTTATAATTCTGCACGATTGTTGAAAATAATAAAAAATACAGACAGGATTGTCTAAAAAGTTCCCTAAACAGGAAATAATGCTCAAAATTCATCCAAATCAGTCTTTTCACAAACGTCTTGCAGTCACTGAGTATAAACTATTTGGGTTCATTGTACAGTTTTGAATATAAAATTAAATAATCATAAAATATGAAATTTGGCGTGGTACTAGTTTAATAAATTATAGAAAAGGGGGCCCTTAAGGAAAAAGGTTGTGAACCACTGGATTAGACCAGTCCTGCTTTAATGATCTAATTTGATTATTCAGCAATATGAAGTTTAAAGTGAGGATGCACATAAAGATATGTCGCCTAAGAACAAAAAATGTGAACTCTATCATGTTACGACAAGACAAAGTGGTAATACAACCATACATGTTAAAAATGATACAATTAATGATCAAATGTCGTGTAAGGGATATGGATATGTGTTAATGTGTGTGCTGCCCTACAAAACAAATCGACGAGGGCCACATATAGTCAAAGTGACTAAACCGATCGACACTATACTATATAAAATAAAATATTATGCCATAGAATAAATTCGAAAACAGATTAAATCGCACAAAACGGACCAAAACCAAGAACTAAACACACACGCACACTAACGGCAGCAAAGTAAAGGGGCGAATCATGAAAGCCGTGGATAGCCACATTAAACAACTAGCAAAGTTAGTTTTGGTCATTAGTTTGTATTCCACGAATGGAATAAGGCAGCAGCAACATCAATGATGATGGGAAAAAGCCTAAAACCTATAAAATAACAAACTAAACATAGAAAGCAGCAGAACCATTATTAAGTACTGGACAGATAGGCCTAAAAACACAAACAACTACAGTCAAGCTCAAAATATTCAACCACGGCAAATTTGACTGGAGTTACTTTATAAATTTTTTACCGGAAAGACACAGGCGTCTCCCAGAAGATATTAAGACGATGTAAAAGAGGCATCATTGTGGAAAAAAATATTTTTCAGCTTTTATTTACATTTGAATAAAAAGGGGCTTGTACATTGTCTTATTATCTTCTGGGAGACGTCTGTGTCATTTCCAATCAAGAAAAAACTTGCTGGTTGAATCAAAGTAACTTTAAGTCAAATTTTGCCTGGGGTATAAAAATTACAGAAAGGCAGTCAGTGGAGCACAAACTTCTGATAAACTCTGAACAAACCTTCATAAATGAAACCTAACCCTGGTGTATTACAGAGAACTCCACCATCGAGGCTCCACCTCCCTCTCACCTGACTCAAAGGCAAACAAGGGAAGGGAATTACATTACCTTTGCACCAAACTCACAACTTCCACATTGAGAGCTTCAGAGGGGAAAACAGGAATATTCAACCAGCCATCGCTTCACACCGAATGTGAGTTTTATAATAAAACAAAAAAAAAAAAACACGACTCACAGCGAAGTAACTTTTATTGAACTTTTCTGCAGGGGGAGGGAGGACATAACTGATTAACTATTGTGCTGTGTTTTCAACTTTACTCAGAGAGAAAATGGCTTCCCGATCAGAGGAGGATCTCTCCTGTCCGGTCTGCCATAACATCTTTAGAGATCCTGTCGTCCTGTCATGCAGCCACAGCTTCTGTAAAGGCTGTGTGCAGGACTGGTGGAGAGAAAAACTATTACAGGAGTGCCCAATTTGTAGGAGAAGATCATCAAAGAATGAACCACCTGTTAGTTTGGTGATAAAGAACCTGTGTGAGGCCTTCTTACTGGAGAGAGATCACACAGCTTCAGCAGGATCTGAGGCTCTCTGCAGTCTGCACTCTGAGAAACTCAAACTCTTCTGTCTGGACCATCAGCAGCCAGTTTGTCTCATCTGCAGAGATTCAAAGACGCACAACAACCACAGATTCAGACCCATTGATGAAGCTGCACAGGATCACAGAGAGGAGCTCCAGAAAGTCCTGAAGCCCTTTAAAGAGAAACTGAAGATCTTTGAACAAGTTAAAGGAAACTTTGATCAAACAGCAGAACACATTAAGGTCCAGGCCGAACACACAGAGAGGCAGATTAAGAAGCAGTTTAAGAAGCTTCATCGCTTTCTAGAAGAGCAAAAGAAGGCCAGGATCACTGCTCTGAGGGAGGAAGAGGAGCAGAAGAGTCAGATGATGAAGGAGAAGATTGAGGCTCTGAGCAGAGAGATAGCAGCTCTTTCAGACACAATCAGAGCCACAGAGGAGGAGCTGAGAGCTGAAGACATCTCATTCCTGCAGAACTACAAGGCTGCAGTGAAAAGAGTCCAGCATCGCCCCCTGCTGGAGGATCCACAGCTGGTCTCAGGAGCTCTGATAGACGTGGCCAAACACCTGGGCAACCTGACCTACAACATCTGGGACAAGATGAAGGACATGGTCTCCTACACTCCCGTGATTCTGGATCCAAACACTGCCAACCCAGAACTCCTCCTGTCTGAAGATCTGACCAGTGTGAGACGGGGACGGGGACAGAAGCTTCCTGACAATCCAGAACGGTTTGACTGTTACCGCATGGTTCTGGGCTCTGAGGGCTTTACCTCTGGGACTCACAGCTGGGATGTCGAGGTTGGAAACAGTCCAGCCTGGGTCCTGGGTGTAGCAGCAGAATCTGTTCAAAGGAAGGGAGACAGAGGTTTACAGTCTGGATTATGGGGAATGGGGCTCTATAAAGGTGAATGCCCAACATGCTCAGTACCAGGTCCACACACTGTTCTCTCTGCAGAGCTCCAGAGGGTCAGAGTTCATCTGGACTGGAACAGAGGAACGCTGTCATTCTCTGATCCTGATACTAACACACACATACACACCTTCACACACACTTTCACTGAGAGGATGTTTCCAGTCGTTACCGCTGGGAACAAAGTCCCACTGAAGATATTACCAGTGGTCGGTTATGATAACGGTGCTGATGACGTTGTTAATGATGAGGATTGGAGTGATAGTCCCGAGTATGTTTCCATGTATCAGCAGTGTGTGTGATCTCCCACTGAAGACGATAACGATGATGACGATGATGACGATGATGACGATGATGATGTACATCTGGAAAAGTATTATTCAACATCTTCAATATACAAATGATCCTATAAAAGAGTTTTCATTTAGCTGAACTTGGACTTCAGTGACTTGTAAATAGAGCAATCATTTTAATCCAGTATTTTTACCAGATGAGGATCTATTATATAAAAAGTGATCACATTTTTGTTCAATATTCAATATATTTATATATATATATATAAGAAATGAAGAATATAACCATGGAATTGTGAAATAATTCAATAAACATGTAAAAACATCTGTTTTTTGTTTTCACAACATCACTTTCCCAATGAGCATTATTTTATAGTACCACTCTTCATCACAAAGTGTAAAAGAAACTCAAAGTTACACATACTGTATAGACTGAAGCCAATCAGTTTACCTTGTAATTGTTGGCATGTAACATACAAATCCCAGCAGCAACCCTGGAGGTGTTTATAACTTCTGGTGAAAAAAATATTTCATGGGAACTGGAAGTGGAACATTTTCCATACAATCGAAAAGTTTATTCTTACCCTAAAACAATCCCTCAGACCCCTATTACAGGCCGCTGGACTACAGACTGTTTTTGCAACATTAAAAGTGTTAAAATGTTAAATTTTACTGTTACTACACTAGTGTTGACTCACGCTTCCATGCCACTGACTGGGACCGTCCACCATCTTTAAATGGAATAACTGATGCCTACGTTGTTGTCATAATGTGCTCATGTGATCTTCTTCATCTGTTCAGGTCTTCAGCTACACTGGGACACCTGTCCGTCACTTGAGTATTAATTAGCTGTGATGTTTCCAACTTCACCAGTGAGGAACGATGAATCTGCAGCTTTTAAACTTTAACAACTTTAGGTTATAAATATTTTTTTCTCTGTCTTTTATGGCTTTGAATGTTTGAGCAACCTGTTGTCAGATCACTAACAACAGTGGCAGTAGTGGTGTATTGAATTGAGAAAGAAATGGTTTATTCAAAACATACTCTTATAGGGAGTGGAGGGCAGTAATGTGGTGGTTTTATGTTGCATGAAAATACATAAATTGTGGTCCTGCCTCAGCAGTCTCCCCCTAAATCACAGCAAATGTTCCACATTGAAAATGAACGTATAAACTTGGTTTTAACGTCTTAAGATGCAAAACTATAACACAATACTTACATTGTACATATATGTATATATATATATATTTGCTTTAAGAGTACCATAAAGAGGCTTAAACCTGAATTTCGTTATATAACCTTACGTTGTAAATGATTAAATAACCTTGAATCCTTGAATAACACAAAGAAGAAACTACACACTGGCTGGCTTGTGATAGACAGCAAACAATCCACAGACAGAGAGAAAAACAGATACGTTTGCTGAAAAACTGGTTTTTAATAGAATCCCACAGACAAACTGTCAGTACTGATGGAAACTTAGTTTGATTTATAAATCACCCCATTCATACAAACAGGTTGTGTTAAAAAAAACAGTGGACATGATAATAAAAAGAGACATTCAGATGGAGGCAATGAAATATGTTGCTGTGAATAATGTGTCTTAAGGCACTGCTGGCCTCCTGTGGATCACAGACCACGATCGGCATTCAGGCATAAAGTGTTGAATTTAACTTAAATGTATTTAACCTTAAATAAAAACAGACATGAAATAATAAGTATGTAGGATGTTAATGTAAAAAAAAAAGGCCATTTTATTTTGAACTCAACTGAAGAAAAATCTGCCAATTAATTAATCAAATGACATAAACTTAGCTGGCACAAATTATGATAATTCATTGGTTCTTTAAGTCATTGTTTACGATTACAGCTTCTCAGTTATTTGCTTAGTCCCCCATGATAAAAACCAACAATGGGTATTATAAATGGAGATTTTACTTTAAAAAAAATGTATATTACAGTTGAAATCAACATGATTTAAATTTCCACATTATTATTCTCATGTGATTTCTTTTAAACCAAAAACACACGGAAGAGAATTTTCCTTGTTATTTTTGAAGTTACAGAAGTGGTAGATTCATGTGGAAATAGCATCCGTTGGTAACACTACACCAACACAAACAGAACTTAAAAACCAGTGCTGGTTATCTGTCATCCATTCATTGTTATATTATTGTTCACAGAGAAGCCGAACTCTTTGAGAAGCCTAACTGTTCTTACAAAAACTGCAAATTCAACATTTTCAGTGCGAGGAATTATAGAAAAAATATATCTATATCTATGTTTCTCTGTTAATTTGTTACGTGTATAACATTTTTCATAATCACCAAAAGTTTTTCAGAGATATCAGGTAGGTACAGTTGCTTGTTACATGACTGAAAAATAAAGCACAGCACCATAGAGTCAGGAAAAAGCAAACCTATAATATACAAACGCATAGAAAATGATATAAAGAAAGAAGCAGGGATTAACCTTCAACCAGTTTGTTTTGTGGAAACAAAGTGTGACAGTGTAGTGTGGCAATATTACACTTCTTGACTTAATAGGAAGTATTGTAACTATCCCCATCGTGCATTTAAAAACAGCGAGGCTGAGGCAACACGTTTTGGTCATGTATGATGCTGACTGCAGTAAGTAGTGATCAAGGCTCTCTGAGTGATAAGAACCCAAAACCAGAACTTCTACTATAAGGATCACTTTCAGGATTTTTCTCTAATCCTTTTCTTGCTCTTCACTTCTCCACTTCTTTTCTACCTTCCACTGCAGGACGTAAATAATAGGAGCCAGGCATCAGCTCAGGCGTTTGATTGTATAAGCCTGAACATGTTAGGCAGTCATTTAAAGGTCCAGTGTGTAACATTTAGGAGGGTTTATTGGCAGAAGTAGAATATAATATTCATAGGTATGTATTTCATTAGTGTATAATCACCTGAATATGGGGATCATTGTGTTTTTGTTACCTTACAATGAGCCATTTTTATCTACAAATGTTTCTACAGTAGCCCAGAATGAACAAACCAATCACTGGCTGAAGACCGTTTCAAGTTTTTACGCCCACTGTAGTTTAGGTTAAGTTAGGTTCACCGCTAGATGGCACTTAATCCTACACACTGGTCCTTTAAAAGTACACAGGTACAGTTTTACCATACCATATCTGACACATTACCAGTAAGAAACTACTTTACAGAAATGCCAACTACGTGGAAGATATATGTTTGAGGTCATTTTGAAAGAATCTCAGCATTGAATCGTTTGACCACCAGAGGGCAGGGATGAGAATCAAACGCATAAAGTCATGGTGGAGTTTTCAGAACAACTTCCAGGTGGTGAGTATGTACATTTCAAGCTTTTTTTACTTTAACGGGGATAACCCGAACGCACCATCTTTCTGTCCTTCGCTACAGTGTCTGTTTCTCATTCTTCCTCCATCTCTCAAACTTACATATGACTCGTCTCTCTGAAGGATTCTGCCAGCACAACTGTCGGCATCTCTCAAGCTGCTCTTTTTGCCAAACCAGATCTGCAGTAGATCTTATGAGACCTATTCAAAATCAGTGCAAGTCCAGTCGTGGGAACGCATTCGTTGCCTGTTTCACACCCTGAAACAACTTAGCAGCGTGTCTGATATCCCAACTCTGGGATTTCTGGAAAACATGAGCTGTGGTTTTTGTTTGCAGCAGTTCCTGTTTTATCTGGATCCATTAGGTCAGATCCGATCAGAGTTGGTTTTCCTCAGTCCAATCAACCTTCCCGTCTAAGGAAACCTGCTACGAATCCACGACACAAACCTCTGCTTCTGTCTGTGTGGTCACCTGTCTGTCCACCCATCTGTCTGTGGTTAAATCCCCTTCTTCTCTCCCCCAACCCTCCTTCTGCCTCTTGGCGAGGTCGCTAGCGATAGCCAGCGCTCCTCCTTTCAGGAACCGGACGAAGTTCTCACCAACTAACGGCCCCATGGCGTACATGCCCGGTCCGTCTGCCGTGACCACGTTGTTCGTGAATGGGTCGACCTCGATCGGGTTCCTCCGGCACGAGATTGTCTCGTTGGGGTCGATGCCGAGCGAGCGGCCATTGTCATCCAGAAAGGAAAGGTTTGGGTGAGCGCCGATCAAAACCAGGGCCTTGGAAACCTGGACCACCGTCCGCTGGCCCGAGTCAGACTCCAGAACGCACTTCTGGTCGGGTCGGAACGCCACGACCCTGTAGCGTGGGAAGCTCAGGTAACCCGGGTAGGAGGAGGGGGACGAAGACGTGGTGGAGGAGGATGGAGGGAGGGAGGAAGGGGTGGAGTGGTCACGGAGGTTCTGAGCAGGGTCGTGTGGCGGAGGGTTCGGCCGGTACTGCTGCTGAGTCATCATCTGGTGAACCTGCAGGTCAAAGGACAGGAAATAATAGTTGAGATGTAACTTAAGCCTTTAAAGTCATGCTTTTGTTGCACCAAAGCAGGACAAAAATATTAGATGAATGATCCATCAGTTGACTGAATAACTGATTGGTCAATGAGGAAAGTAATTTATCAAGCATGTGTGTTTTTCTGCAGGTTGTAGACAAGGTTACAGAAAATACACACTCCCATAAATACTGTTGCAAACATTGCAAACGTTCAGCGGCTTCAGGTATCAAACGCTCCTCACCTTGTGGTACTCTGGGTAGAGCAGTTTGGGCAGCTGGTTGAAGATCAGGCCGGGGTCTGTGACCGAGCGTCTGAAGGCGTGGTAGACTGGCGTGTTGAGATGGTGGGCGGCCAGTACCGCGTCGGCCGCTGTAAGCCCCGCCCCCACCACCAGCACCGGGTCTGACGACTGGTCGAGTTCACCTCGAGAGATGGCTGCCTCCAGCTCCCAGAAAGAGTGGCAGACGAAGGGCAGGGACTCGCCCTCCACGCCGAGCCTGGCCGGGATGTCGTGGGTCCCCGTCGCCAACACCACATTGTGGGCCAGCAGGGAGAAAGGCACCTCCTCCGAAACAGAAGACCCATCTAGCAGGCAGAGGAAGAGGGAGGAAAGTGAAGGTTAACATGCGGCCGTCTTACATTTTTTAAACAACATGCTACAACTTTAATCATGAGTGTTTTCATTCACCGTACCTCCAAGCTCTTCCCCCTCTCTGCGCTGCTGTCCCGTCACTCTCCAGCAGGGCGGCGACCCCTCATGGCTGCCGGGCTGTCTGGTTACCGAGGTGACGGTGGTTCCACAGGCGAAGCTCTGCTCCAGGGACATCTGGGAAACGTAGTGTTGGTAGTAGGAGGCTATCT